CCCCCCGTTGCTTCTCTCATTCTTATTCTTCTCTCTAGAAACCACCCAGTTTCCTCCTGAAGGGCCGAGTTACCGAGAGGGTGGGCAGATGCCCCAGTGTCTGCTCAGTAATGAACAGGGTGCTGCCCTTGCTGAGGGGCTGCTGGACGGCAAAGGCAGCTCTGGACGTGGTGGCAGCCCCACTTTGTGGATGAGGGCGGTGTGGGTTGCCAAAACAGCAGGATGGGGGTCCTTAGTAAGAACAATTAGCGAAGCAGCACGTGTCCCTTCTGTGTCCTTGGACTGAGGATCCCGAGACTTTCTCAGCAAATATTTGATGTTCTGTTGCCTGGGGCTTGGACAAACTCATCTTTGCCTTTTCCTTGGGTGTGCTGAAGCAGCTGAAAGAAAAATGTAGTAGAGACAGTAGAGAAGTGTAGTAGAGACCTTCCTAAAGCATGAAAGATAAAGTTATGTTCCTTACAATTCTGTGTGTGAAATCTTTAGTAGAGGAAATGTGGGAGCTGCCATGTAGGAGCAAACTGGAAACTCATAATTAAAATATAAATATATGCATGTGATGTGTGTCTGTGTGTGTGTGTGTGTATATATATAAAGCAATGGTACCAGACAGCAAAACAGTCTAGGTTTTGCTTTGGGGCAAATTGCTGTGGAGTCAGTACAGACTGATAGAGTGCTTTCAGCTGTGCTTAAGGGACTTGCTTTTTCATTTGCGGCTGATTACAAGCTAATAGGATTTCAAAGATTTCTGGGAGGGAACAGTTCACATCTCATTGCATTTGATTCTTTTTTTTTCTTTTTTTTTGATGTTTCATTTATCATACTGATACCTACCCTTAGAATAATTTTTATTACTCTTCTGTTTAACTTCTTGAACTGAATTTTTCCCCTTGGTCCCTTGCTGCTGTCTAATTGGCAGTTTTCAAATCATTTGGGACTTTTGGAAAGATCCTACCAGCCTTTTGTGTGATAGAAGAGAACGGATCATTGGAATAAAAAATAACGTTGTGAATCTTTTTAGGTTTAGCCCTCTCTTCTTTGTCTTTCACTAATACATGCATGATGTGGCTTGTACTGTTATGTTTTCTTAATGAAAATTAAGAATTTGAAAGCAACTCATGGGAACAACCAATACAGCTGAATTTTATCAGTACAAACTAATTCTGTGACTGACCTTCTCTGTTTAGCGGCAGTAGTAACCCTAGTTATTTTTCTTTAGCAGCTCACATGTTGGGAACACACACTTAGCCTGTAAATATGGATTCAGGAGGAAAATGAATACAGCAGTGTTCAAAGCAGCCAAAAGCTTAGAAATAATGTTCTGCTGTGACTTTTCCAAACCGACATCTTGATGTTGGGATTATAAATGAAACCATTGTTCCAGCAAAGGCCAAGACTAATAGAAAGCCTTTATTACTGGTCCATTGGCTAATTCTGCTTGTCTAACCCCTTTGGATAGACACAGTGTCAGAAAACATACTCACAGAGGTTGCTTTGTGTGAGATTTGGCCTGCTGAGTGATTACATGGGGGCACAAAGATATCTCAATGACAAGTGTTCTTTGACTAAAATTTGTAAAGTCATTTTCTTTCAAAAAGAATGAACTGATTTTTAATCTACAGCTTCTATGAGTGATATTTGCTTTGTGTTCTATCACCCTTCTATTTCGCTGTTTTCCCCTTCCAAGCAGGTAAACCTCTGCTTAGAAGAAATTGTTTCTTCTGCTGAGCTTCGGTGCAGTTGACAGCTGTCATATACAAGCACTATACTTGAATACATGTCTTTAGAGCTAGGCAGTGTTAAAGAGCTTTAATCTTTTCTCTTTGCACATGCAGGGAATGCCTAGGAGCCAGAGACCCCTATTGCGGCTGGGATAACAAGCAGAAGAGATGCACCACCATTGAGGACAGCTCCAACATGAGCCTGTGGACTCAAAATATTACTGAGTGCCCGGTAAGTGAAAGGAGTGGAAATATTTTCTATATACTGGTGTGTGAATGTGTGTGTATGTGCAGAAGGGAGAGAGAAAGTGAGTGTGTGGCAGCCTGATCAGGACTGGCTGTTAGGAGAACATGGAGAGCCCAGTGACACACAGTAACATCTGTGCACAGCCTCTTGTTTAGAGCACAGAGACCCCAAATGTATTTGTTTGCTCCAAAAGGGGGATGCCAAAGCAAGCAGTCAGTCCTCCTTATGCCCACCCATGCCTTAAGAAGATCGGATCATGCTGTTGGCTTACTGCTGAGAACCGTGTAAGCCCCAGGTGAAACTTGAGCTTTCTGAGGGCTGCTCCACTGTCTGCACCATTTCCTTGGCTTCCCTGCAGGTCAGGGAAATCGGAATAGCTGATGTACAGCGTCCTCGGGTAGCATCCAGTTCATTTTCCTCTTGGATCCCTGAGCTGGGCCCAGGAGACAATGCCGGTGAAGAAGTGTTGCACTGCCAGGAAGGGGCATCTAGGGAGCAGCAGAGAAACGGGGCATGCGTGGATGGTTTGCAGAGGGAATAAAAAGATGCAGTATGTACTAGAGAACAAGAGGGAAGGGGAGAGTGTATCCAAGAGAGGGAGCATAAGAAAAAGAGTGTTTGGTTCTAACTTCGATTTAGCAGACCAAAGACCAAATCTATGTGATATTTCAAGGAGATGGTCTTCTTTCCTTGCCCTGGTCTCCATGAGATGCAGCAGTTAAAAAAAAGTCTCTCTGCTTGAATCAGTTTGAGTTGGCTCTCCAGTTCCCTTCCCACCCTCCCACCCACCCTCCTCTGACGACAATATGCAGTTGCTGGCTGTGATCCCCAGAAGCCGTCTGGCCAAATTTAAACTGTACCTGCAAGGTGGTTGGGGAGGAAAACCAGTCTTGTTAAATAAATTGGGCAGGCGGAGAGGGGAGGAGAAATTCTCATTGATGTCCATTGTTATTATCTAATATCAATTAGCATGTTAATACTGCTAAGTCCAGTAGATAGAAAGAGTAGACTGGATGGGTTATATCTTCACTATGCTATTTCTTTCTGGAGGTGCTGGGATGTTTATTCCCCTTATCTTCCTTACTTCTCAGATATTTTCCCAGGAAATATTAGTCATTACTTCAATCCATCCTCAGCTTGGCAGGCTTAAGTTTTTCACTGATGGATTCAGAGGCTTGTGTGTTTATAACCCTCCTGTGTTGAACTGAGATGCAGTGCTTCTTGATTGCCCATGCTGTTATCTCGTCCTGCTTAATGCCTGTGTCTGTTGATAGGTGTGTGAGGTGTTAATCCTCTAGTTTGAACGTCTGCTGTGGTGCACACTAGGGAACAGGCTACTACAGATCATTGTTTCAAGGTCATAAAAATCCAGCACAGAATATTCGGGAGGTTTGGGTGTTCTTGGGGTGCTATTTACATTTGTTTTAGCAGTTCCATGTAGATTATTTTCCGTTTAGGTGCTCTCATTCTGGTGCATACATCAGCCTTGTACTCTTCGACTGACGGGCTGCCAAGCTGTTTAGAATCAACATGCAAGCGCTCTCTTTTTCGTTCTCCTCTGCCCCTCGCTGGAATGAATTCACATCTGGCATGGAGTGGGATGGCTCATTTAAGCACCTACGTTGGCAATATCCAAGTATTTCCTTGTGTTCAGTGCAGGATAAAGGTCATGGTCAACAGAGGCAAGAGTCTAGGGCAGCATGCACAAATGACCGCTTGAAAGGTGGGGGAATGCAGTGACCCAATGTCAAATTCCACTCTTGAAAAAGGCCTGTCTGGGAGTTTAGTTAGATGAGTTACTGTCTTAAGAAGTCCTGGCTTTTCTCACCCCATTTTCCTGGGCCGAGCACCAGGCGCTCAGCTGTGCTGGTACAGCTGTATGTGAGATCACACTCAAATGTGACATGCCGTAGATTAAAAGCACCCCTCCCAAATAAACTTCTCCTAACCCAGATAATGTCAGTGAGTTCTTCTGCAGTCTAGCCCACAAACAGATGTCCTGGCACAGCTGAGAGACTGGCATGCAGCAACTTTTAAAGCCAGAACTGGCATATTATTGAATTATATCCTACAGGGGCCAGGCATTTGTGTGAGTCAACCACAGCGCTAACACAACTTGACTGCTGCTCTTGTGCAAACATGCTTGTTCAGAGCTAGTCTGAACATCTTTGTACAGCACTACGTTGTACCACAGATTCCCACTCTCCAGCTTTAATATTAAGGGACCTTAGATAGACGGTTAATCATACAGTGTTAACACAGTACCTTGGGCAATGGTTAATATATATTATTAGCAGGTAACATTCCAAACCTCCTAAAAGTTCATTGCTGAGGTTGCAATGATGTCAAACATTTTAACATTGAGAAATGATAGGACACAAATTGCACATGCTGCTCTTCTTTTCCCTGTATATGCATGTATCATATTAGGGAGTCCTGAGTACATGATTGCAGGCTGTTTGTTCTTATGCTTGGGAGAAGGGAGTGAGGTGCATTTTGGTTTTAGGAAAACTGAAAAAAGCCACACCCTACTTTATAATATCTTACTGATGCCAACATGAGCCACCAGCAGGAAAGGAACTTTAGATTTGGCTAACAAACTCCATTAGCCAAGCTCATGGCATCACTGTTGATGGTGGTTGGCAAGTCAGGAATTGAGTATTCCCAATAAAGTGTACAGTCCTCCTTATCCCGAGCCAAATGGTGCTCTTCCTTGCAGGTTTCCATCCCAATCGCACTCTGTGTGTCCAGCAAATCCCTATCTTGGTCATCTGGCATCTGTTCCATCTTACTCCATTTTCTTGCTAATCAGTGCCAGTCTCCCCAGTCCTTTCTTGGGGTGTCTAGCAGACTTCTACCCTGCTTTCAACTCATGTGGGCTCAGCCACTCAGACCTGCAGTGCCCAGGGTAATCCTGCTCTGGCCCGCACTGAAGCATGCCCAGTGCACAGAGAAGACTTCAGGTGGCAGGATCAAACTCTATGAGTCTCTGAAAACTGAAATTTTTCCTCCCCACCTCCCAAGGATTTTATACCCTAGGCAGATTTGAATGGCTTTTCAAGGAGATTGCAAAAAGGTGTTACACGGACATAAAGTTCAGTTCCTTGCTCTGAACACTGGCTTGTTTCAAAGAAAAGGTTGCTACTTACGGATATTCTTTTTCCCTAGATTTGATTTTAGAAGTGGTTGAAATATTTTGACTGAGACTTTGCAAGAATTTTCAGCTTCTATCAAACAGCCAACATGGAAACTTCCAGCTGAAATAATTGAAGCTTGGCAAAGTTATAAGCAGTTGACATCTGAATCCTAAGAGGAAGCACAGATGAATTGAAAGAACAAGGAATGCTTCTAGCCTTATCTGTAATGTCAGAATAAACATTGAAAATATCCTGGTAGCGGGCGGTAAAAATGGTCAGTCTGAATTTTTAGATCTTGCACTTGAGTCTTTAGATGATACAAGGGAGAAACAAACAGGTGATGCCTTTGGTGGGAGTATGTCAGTTTACAACATATGAGAACTCCGGAATTGGTAATATTGTCAGGTGAGAGAAGGGCATTTGGTCACATGTGTTTTTAAAGATGTCCTGTCTGTCTGATGGGCACTGTGTTGGCTACAAAGGATTTGCCTTGTGAAGATATTCCTGAAAAAGATCAATGCATATGGGTTTTTATCCCACTTCCCAAGTTTGCTCTTTTGAAGATATTTTTATGAATTTAAAAATGGAATAATAATCCATATGTAATTTCTTAAGTATAAAAACTTCCCACACTCACAACGTGACGTGTTTATAAATCTCAGCATTCTGGTTATGGCTGCTTATTTGTTTAATTTTTGGGTTGCTTCCCAGTATCACTTATGAGCCAATAATTATTTGTCAGCTTTTTTTTTTTTTAATTGAAGCCACGGGCCATATCATACCATTGATTTCTGAACAGAACTCCCTGCTGGAATCAGCAAGGCTTTCTGGCTCGGAAGTGAATAGAAATGATCCAATACTTGGATTATGACTTTTGTAAGGCAGGAGGAAAAAGGAGATAAAAATCTAGTATTAAATATCCGAAAGTAGTTCTTTTGATTTTTTTCCCCCCTGACTTAGCAACCCAACTGTATTGATTTTTGACTGCATGCATGTTTAAAACAACAAATTCAGCAACGACAACAAAACTCAGCTCAGTGTTCTCTTCTCTGGGCATCTTGCCTTGTAAGCTGCAGCCCAGAGCAAATTTTTGCGACGACATGATAATCTATTGCAAACAAAGGTTTACAACAGATGCTTGAAACCCCCCGACTACAGTCTGACGAGCGCAGTAACAGATCTAAATTACTTCCGTGCCACTGCTGCATATTTTTGATGCTGCTGTAGATGGGTGAGAGGGGAAGATGACAGCCCACCAGAGGTGCATCGTGAGTGTTTAAAGTGGCGGACTTGGAGAATAAGCACAGACCAGCATGTTTCAGAGGATGAGTGTTTGAAAGCACTACTCCCATGGCTGTGGTTGGCTCCCTGCGTGGCTCCCGAGCAGGCTTGCAGCCCCTCTGCGCCTTGGTTTCCTTATCTGTAAAGCAGGAGAAATGATATTGCCCCTGGGGCGGCCCAGGGGACGGATCCTGCTGACTGCACAGCTCAGTGAAGCATGGCACAGTGGAGTTTGTCAGCCGTAGCTGGTCAGATTTGGGGCCAGGGCTGTTCGCCAGGGCCCCAGCCTCTTCCTTTCTTCACCCTTGGTTGCCTGCGACACCGAGGCCAAATCCAGAATTGTCTTTGCCAGCAGTTTTACCAAAGCTGCTGAGCATCCCGCCACCCCATGGGTGACACCAGTGGGGATGAGCCACTTGCAGGCAGCCACCATCTGTGCCATCCCACCTGCGAGGGGGCATATGGGGTGGGGAGGATGGAGGGAGCCTCTCGGGGAGAGTGCATCATGGTGCTGCGCTGTAGCAAGGAAATAGCTGTACCTAGGCAGGGCCAGCATGGATGTCTTTCTGCCTCGTGTTTCTGAAGTCAGGAGCAGAGGGGAAGCCAGGGCAGGGGTTTTTAGGGCAGCCTCCTGGACATGGTCCTGGAGTTGCTGGATTTTGCAGTAGCGGTGGAGTGGGCACGAGAAGGCAGCGGTGGCCTGGGAGCATTCCCGGGAGGATCAGGCAGCACTCGTCTTCTCAAGTCAGCCTTGGTGACGAGGGCCCTAGCAGCTTGCTCCCCCAGCCCTCAGCTTAGGGCTTACCTAGCAGCACTGGTTAAAACAAGGCACAGGGGAGCAAGCTCTGACACCCTATCTCCTGGAAGGTCTTCACCAATCCTGGGCTGAAATAGTTCTGTTTCTCATGCTTTTGCTCTGCCAGGACTACCGTGCTTTTACTTCTTCACTGCAGTGCACAGGAAGCTCAAGCCCCAGCCTGTTCAGGCTGTACAGGCATGAAACAAAGGGCAGAGTAAACAGATAGCAGTGTGGGCTGGTCTATAAATTGCCTTGAGGTGAATTCTTGCTCTTTAGCCCACTATGTGATCCTCAGCATTAATTCTAGTCACCACCGTCTCCTTCACTTTCTATCCTTCAACCAGCTTAGCCATTTAGGCTACAGCTGTGTTTAGAAAGGGAGCCAGTTCTTACTATGTGTTTGGACATGGCCAAACTCAGCGAGGCCTCGGGGGCCAAACTCACCGAGTCCCCAGTCTCAGCTGGTCACTATGGTTATACCAACGCTAACCTGGAAAATACTCTGCAGGAGCAGTCCCAAGCACTGCAGAGGCAGGAGCATAATGGAGTGGGGACAGTCAGCACTGGCCATTGTGTTGCTTGAAAGGCTGAAGCTGTGCCGTGTGGGACGAGGGAGCGCGGTGGGTTTGTGGTGTGGCAGATGGATGCTTGTGCCTGGTGTGGTGCTGGCTGGGTTGGCTCGGGTGCCTGTGCGCACACGTTAGGTATGCAGGGTGGAATTTGGAGGGTAAATATTGATGCGGCATTGTCTGAAAATAACCCTATGTTTTGAATCCTGCTCACAAGCACAGACAGCTCCCATCTAAGCTGCATCCTAATCCCCCTGGCAGCTTTGTTTGGCATTTCTATTGTGGGGCTGTCTCCAGAAACGTAAACTTGCTATTAATTAACTTTTTTCTTTTAAAATTAGGTGAAAAACCTGACTACAAATGGAAGATTGGGGCCTTGGTCCCCGTGGCAACTGTGTGAGCATTCGGATGGGGACAGCACAGGCTCCTGTATGTGTAGGTCACGTTCATGTGACAGCCCTCGTCCTCGCTGCGGAGGTCGCGGCTGTGAAGGGGCCAGGATCGAGGTTGCAAATTGCTCGAGGTACCTCAGCATCTTTGTGCTTTTCAGGAAGGAAACAAGAGTTGTGCCTGTCCACAGCTTAGCTCCTTCCTTGTGTTTCTGTGACCATGTTGTTGTATCCCAGCCAAACTGAGGTATGTGAGGTCCAGCTTGAAGTCAGTGAAAAATGAGGGAGCCCAAGGTCTCTGAGAGAAGGGCCTTCAGCCAGGGCTCTTGGAAGATGAGCACTCCGAATTAGTGTACACATTAACCTTCCCTACGCTGTGCCTCGGTTTCCCTCAACTGTACAGTGAGTAGTGACCCATCAGGAGGAGGTGAGTAAGGCAGAGGTAGTTGTTAGCCAACTGAGCAGCAATAAGCTAAAAAAATCCAGTAAGCTCGTAATTTTTCAGGGTTTGGATTCTGAGATTGCATTGCCAAAATCGAGCAGAGCTCCTTCAGAGCAACATTTGTAAAGACAGGGCCTAGTCTAGCTCCGAGCAAGGCTTGTTTGTGTTTGCCTTGTTCTGCGAGTCTGTGAACTGTCGGCAGCACGCTGGCTAGGTGAAAGCAACAGATCATCATCTGGCAGCGAGCAGCGCTTAAGAGGCATGCCTGCCGGGGACAGCACTTAAACAACGCATGTAGCTCGGCTTGTGTCGAAGTGCTGCCTTTCCAGGGAAGCCTGAAACTCGTACTTGGGCAGTATGGAAGCTAAATGTCCTCTGGTCGGGTGCCCAAACATAGCCAGGATGTTTGTGTCCATGTTACCCCACCACCCTCAGACTACATCATGTCATGACTCAAAGAATGACGATGCAATAGTGTAAGCACTACTTAGCTAGGGTGGGGCCAGCCAATATTTTGGTAATTATTGGGTCGTTACCAATCTACTTTATCTTCTCCATAAACGTTCATTCCATTAAGGACAGCTGTCTCTTGACTCCTCTCTGGAGATCAGTGCTGGTCTTGGCACCAAAAATTCAGCAATACTCATGTTTTAATTGGCATCTCTCCTTCCAGTTGTGGGCTGTGCTGCCCAAAAGGCGTGCAGTCATTCCTGCCCCTGTGCTGCCACCGTGGGCTGAGCGGAGCCTTCCCAAGGCAGGCTTTTTATGTCAGTGGCAAATGGAAAGCATGCCATGGGATGGGTTTCTCAGCACTGCTCTGATGGCAAAAGAGGCAGGAACAGCTTCTAAGAAGGACATGAAAAATAGATTATTCACTCTGAAGACATAGGAAAACAGCATGGTTTGAAAAACAGGGACATCTGGTCATCCTACATCCGCCTCAGCCCTCAAATTTCCTTTAATTGACTTCATATGGCATTGAGATTTCTTTTTGCAAAGAGGGAGCAGGATGCTTAAAGATGAGGTCTATTAGAAAACTGGAGATCTAAAAATGGAAGGTGTCTTTATTTCTGTGAAAAATCCTGAAACACAAATAGATCCTGAGAATTGTTGTTTTTTTCAGGAATTTTTAATAGAAATTACTTCCCCTTTTTTGCTGCAGTAACAGCAACCTTCCATTTCATTTTTTCTTTTTGTGTTTTTGCATATAATCTTTCTTTTGGATTAAGGAGTGGGGAGGTAGTAGGTGGATTAAAACATGGCAGAATAAGATGGAATAGTAGGATTTTTATATAAGTGACTTTCTTGTTCTTTGACCTTGTTTGGGGCAGGAGAGGGGAAGGGAAGGAGGGAGGGGGATGAGAGAACAAGAGGAGGAGGGGAGAAATATCTAACAGGGTTCTAAAATAAAGCTGCCAAGAACAGGCAAGAGTTGATAACAAATACAAAAACTGTGAAGGGCAATGTGGGTTTTAACTTTCATCCTCTGCCCTGATTGGTACTATGCCAGAAAATATTTCTTGCCAGCAGTGTTATTAGTTCAGTAAATGCTTTGAAAATTAACATCTGTTTTCGAGCTTAGCTTTCAAGAACCAGAGAGCACCTGAGTTGTTTTTTGACTAGACTTTTTAGAAAGGTTTTTCTTTATTAAAAAAAACCAAAAGCAAGTGAGATTTTTGGCTTAAGGCAGTGAGGTGTCAAGATTAGGCAGTTCTGTAAGACAGAGCATTGCCACTGGCTCCATATGAAATGAAACCTGCAGCAGAGAAGAGATGAGATACAGTTCCTCCTCTCCTGCTCCAAGGTTCAGTAGTGCTGCCAAATCAGAGGAAGGTGAGCTTTAATAAATGCAAGATTTTAAAGATGAAAATGTTGGCTTCTGTGTAAGCACGCAGTTGAGTTACCGCATGGGAGCAGCGTCGCAGGAGCCGGCGCCTGCACGTGCTCAGCCTGTCGCGGGAGTGAGGCACAGAATGTTTGCCGACATCTCTGTCTCTGAGGTGTGAACTAAGGGGTTTTACATCTCATTTGCTTCAGGCTAAGTTACCACTGCTCAGCAGAGATGTGATCACTCATTAAACCATGAAACTCGATCCTGCCTCTGAGCTCTTAATTGCCTTCTGGTTTCTACAGATTTAAGGTCACACTACAGTGACGTCTGCAGGCAGCCATGAAAGCTAGAAGCAATTATTGTTATTTTTAATGAAATTTGAGATTTCCACTTAATAGGATTCAATGCTGAAGGCTTTAGGAAAACACCAAATATTATGAGGTTTGTGATAAAACCATGGGAGCTGGCAGTAGTTATGCTGTAAGAGATTTAAAGCATCAGTACCTACTGAATTAGCAGAGGGTAGGTTTTTTACATCCTTTGGCACAACTAGCATTGGTGAGCCTCAAAACCTGCACTCGTTGTGCAGAAGAGTCCAGGAGATACACCTTTGGGATCAACCATCGGCTCAGAAAAGGAGGGTTATGAGACATGGAGGAGATGGTGGGGGAATAATCAGTGAGAGTTACAGCAACCGTCCTGTTGCCCAGCAAATCCTAGGAGGCATTTTCAAAATCATTCAATATTGGCTTCATTCTTTTCCTTTCCAATTCTCAGAGACTTCAATAGGAGGAAAGTTAGGCCAATGCTAAGCACTTTTGAAACTCCCTTTTCTAAATCTCTGCTGATGTAAAGTCTGGTTGAAATGAATGATCTCTTCAGCAATTCTCCCATCAGTGCCTTATGTGTTTTGTTGTAAAGCACGGCATGACGTGGGCAGATCACTAGGTAACCTGTTCTTTCTCACCTGCTTTGTTAGAAATGGCGCTTGGACTCCCTGGTCTTCCTGGGCCCCGTGTAGCACCTCCTGCGGGATAGGCTTTCAGGTCCGCCAGCGATCCTGCAGCAACCCCGCTCCACGGTACGGGGGCAGGGTCTGCGTTGGACAGAGCAGGGAAGAAAGGTAAGAGATGTTCACAATGCTGGGTATTCACTTCTGTGGTTATAATGTTGGCAGCTGGAAGTGGTGGCTCTTCTATGAATGCAGATTAAGGCTGTTTGGCTGAAAGCAGAAGGAATTCCAGAGCCTGGGAGGGATGAGGTTGCTCACATGCATGGCCACTCTCTTTCAATGAGCCTGTGACCATCAGAGACTTCAGAGCTGCCTCCCCTCTCAGGCAGGACCTTTCAGACCTTCGCAAGTATTCCTGTCCCCCAAACAGAGGGCTGACCTCCTCAACGAAAGGAGAAGCTATGCCTGCTGTTAGCAGTGTAGAGTTTATAGATACAGTTACACTGTTCTGAGGCATCCCTGAGGAGGCAGTTGAGTATGTGCCACTTTCATTGCCAATTGCACCATTCCTAAGTCTGTATTAATTGTGCTGATGCACCAAAAGAAGTTCAAGGCAGAATGTAGCTTAACTCACAGATTCAGGGTTGAGTTTTTGCAGGGCTTTGCATCAGAAAAACATCTTTTTTTTTCCCTCTAAACTAGGCAAATTTCATGCAAAATCACTAAAAGACAATACTTTTTGAACCTACAGAGCCATCTGCATTATTACGCTTCTTCAAGCCCAGCCCCTCATTAAACACGTTCTTCAGGGCATCCCAATTTGGTTTCCAGATTTGACATTTTATTAAAGGCCACCTCTGCTTGGCAGTAGGCTGTTGCATGTCCCTTGAGTGGTCACTTAAGACAGATCTCTCTGTATTTCTCAGAATACAAAGGGCAATTCATTTAACTTCCTTGATTCAGGACATTTTAATGTTTGGTTTGATTTGTGGCCATTCAGAATGGTCCTTTTTGGTTTTTAAAGACTACATCTGAGTCAATTGCAGTCCTGTGTGATTCAGTTTGAGACCAATATTGATTAAAAAGCTGAACAAAATTAAAGTTACCTTTTGAAAAGGGAACATGAAATAGCATTAATTTAGGGCCTGCTTTTAGATGCATATAGTTTAGCTTCAGTTAGAAACACTAGTTTTTTAGGGTCCAAGCAGCGGTAAGGGCCAGATCATGTGAAGAGAAGATTGTCAAGTGTTTAGCACCTGCCATTAGTGACAGATCACTGGTGAGTTGACCTCCCATTAGTCATCCCATTGAAAATATTTACCATCCACTCTCTCTCTTCATGACACGTGGGCTTCAACTTATGAGCTCTTTTGTGAATTCAGTGCATAGAAGTTATGAGCTGAGAGCACTTTCAAAAACCTGATCTTGACCATTTATTCCAACTGTCTCAGTGAGCTCAGCCTGGTTAGCCACTCCCCATTCTGTACCAAGGGTACAGTTCTCTGCCATGAACAGCAATATTGGTAATCTGCCTGTTGTGTCAGCCTTCTGCTGGCTTTCTGTGCATGCACGAATTGCACCCAAATGCAGCATGCAGTCTTGTGTCCGTCACCATTTTGTCCCTCGGATGTGCTGACATGCATGTTTTTTGAGCAATGCGCTTTCTTCTTCCAGATTCTGTAATGAGAACAGTCCATGTCCATTACCGATTTTTTGGTCTTCATGGGGTCCTTGGAATAAATGTAGTGTGAATTGTGGTGGAGGGATTCATTCAAGGCAGAGGTCCTGTGAAAATGGAAATACATGTCCAGGCTGTGCTGTGGTATGTATTATTTATTGACACTGCATAAGGGGCACCTATTCACATCTAGCTTCTAGGGACTTAGTATTTAACTCCTTTCTCCATCTTGGTTTTATTTCTCAAGCTAAAAGAAAATTATATCCTCAGCTTTTGCTGGAGAGGATGCTGAAATGAACTGGGAAGCAGAGAGGTGGCAGATTCCCAAAATCAATGAAGTTGGTGTGAGAGCGTGTGTGTCAGTGTGTGCGTGTGTGTGTGCACGTGCGCGCATGTAAGGACAGACTGTTGTACAGAGGACTTCCTTGAGGCCTCTGTAATCTTAGATATCAAGTCCTTTACCCAAAAGCACTATACGTTTTTTTTCTTCTGTCCCACTCCCAAGGATGATCCTATTGAGTCAAGGAGGCCCTACATGCATCAGAAACGAGTCTCACTGTCATACTTGAGTAAACAACAGGTCAAACGCCTAGTTAACCCATCAGTGAGGCAATGGCTACCCATTTTCTCTCTTTATTTTCCCTTTCTTATTCTGGCAGCTGTTTCATGCAGCTATTTTAATTAGTTTTATGGGGAGTTTTCTTTCAGTGTAAGCAGATTTGATCTGGAACCTCCCATCTGTTCACAAGCTGTTTGGCGTTTACTCTAGAATCATAAAGTCCTGAAGCATTACATTTCTTTTCCTCTGCCAGAAAAGACTGGTTTATTTATTTATTTTTAAACAAGAATGCAATGTTTATCACTGGAATTCCTCCCACTAGCGGCGAGAATTGTAAAGACCCCAAATCACCCCATCCCCATCCAGCCAGAATGTTGTCTGTACTCAATGGATGCTCTACACCAAGGATGGCAAATGCTTCATAGCCCTCACTAGAGAGTTCAAAAGCCAACCAAACAAAAATAACTGTAAAAGAGATAATCTAAACCCATCTTAAAAATAAAACAATAAGCATTTCAAGGAATAAACCTTACTGACATTTTGTCCTCATGGGGCTCCTCTAGGCTGACCTGAGAGCAGCATCTCAGGGTCACAGCAGAAAACTTGTTTGCTGTTATTATTATCTATTGCCTGAATTATTCTCCTGCCTATAATGTACCAAGCTTTCGAAGCCCCACAGGACTTTGAGCCAGCAAAGAAACACAAACCTGAGGGAGAAATAAAAATAGCAGGTATAGTTCACCCTTGAGGTCCACCTGAAGCTATGCACCACTACTGCCTCCATAGTCACCACATTTTGTGCTATGCCCAGCACTGGTTTGTGTCTGTGAGGTCAGGTAAGGTGGATGGAGGTTGTTTTAGATGCAGAGGGTACCTACCCTGTTATTTTCTGGGGTGTAAATAAATCTCTGTCAGTTAGGCTGCTGCTGTTCAATAAGTAAGGAGAGAGTGGGTTTCCTTCTCGGCAGGAATATAAGACCTGCAACCCAGAGAGCTGCCCAGAGGTGCGCAGGAATACACCCTGGACCCCTTGGATGCCTGTCAACATCACCCAGAATGGTGCCCGCCAGGAGCAGCGCTTCCGCTACACGTGTCGTGCCCAGCTGTCTGATCCCCATGAGCTGCAGTTTGGGAGGAAGAAGACAGAGAGTCGATTCTGCCCCAATGATGGCTCAGCAGTGTGTGATACTGACTGTATGTTTTGCCAGCTCTGGGGGACCATAGGGCAAGCCTAGATTTGGTGGTGGAAGGGGGATCCTCTCAGAACAACCAGAACCTGATTGTGTCTACATAAGTCTCGGCATGTATGACTGGTATCACTGCAGAATGGCAGGGTTGGAGAGAGCCCCAAGACTTAGAGGTCAGCACAGTTGTGAGCTCTGTGCTTATGGCAGTGTACAGATTTGTTCTTGCTACTGCCAGGCTGTCCCAAAGCGAACAGGCAATGAGGGTGTAGGGAAGAAGAGAAGAGCCATTCCACAGGACAGTGTGTCTTTACTCTTCTTTCTCTCTGGAGGTCCCCTTGTGGACTGCCTGTGGGGTTATTCCCTTCACTACTGCCGTGATGCAAGGCAGTATCCTGAGGGCACAGCCCGGACTGCCACAGTTTGCTGCTTAGAAAGGTCATTTATCAAGCTTATCAGCAGACTCAGTTTGTGTGTGTACAGATTTCATTTTGCATCTAGCTTAGCTGTAACCCTGTGGAACAAAACTCTTGCTAAGGGCTTTCAACAGAAACTCTTCGCCAGAGCGCATAAATCCTGATTTTATTCATGAGCTGAAGCCCTTTTTAAAAGCCCAACAACTAACTTGTGACCATGTGGTGTCTTGTTTGTCTTCCTTGAAGCTCTTGTTGATGACCTCCTCAAGACTGGTAAGACCTCTGCACGGATTATCAATGGGGGCTGGTCCTTTTGGGGGGCCTGGTCTTCCTGTTCCAGGGACTGTGAGTTGGGCTTTAGGATCAGGAAGAGAACATGCACAAACCCTGAACCTAAAAATGGTGGCTTGCCTTGCGTGGGGTCAGCGATGGAGTACCAGGACTGCAATCCACATCCCTGCCCAGGTAACCATGATCATTTTCCTGCATGAAATTCAGAGGTGTTCTTCCCCATGTTAAAGGTAGAGCCACAAAAAAAATCAGTATTTCCAAGCTGCTCTTTTTTTTTTTAATTTGGGGGATTTTTCCTTAATTTTTTTTAAAGCTATTGTAATGACCCATGTACGTGATCTTTAGTGCTATGACTTATGTTTCACCTAGGCTCAGAGGGTAACACAGCCACATCCTCTAGAGGAAGTAGTATCGTGGCTTGCCTAGCAATTTTTTGCTTCAAGAAGGTTTGATGCTCCATCCAGTGGAGGGCATCTCGGTGCCTCTGCACCTTGATGAGGAGACAGGCTTAATAAATGTGGCTTAATACTGTGTAGAGATGCTTGATGTGGTGGTTCTTCTTGTGAACACTTGTTTCTTCCCCCTCTCCTGCTTACGTATTGTTCTTGCGATGGGCATCTACTCTTGACATCAGTTACCATTTCCTGCACAGCCAGCAGGGAGTATTCTTGCCTGGTTTCCTGGTTTTCGAGTTTGTCCTCATGTTTATGTTGCACTCCTGGTCCAGAATAGTAATAATAGACCATTGACTACTATATTCTCTCTCACTTATCCTTCTCCTTGCAAACTAAACTAAATTTAAGTGATCTTACACAAATTACCTTGCCTCTTTGCAGATCTAGCAATTATCTACCTCTGGCAATATAGTTTGTGGCCTACACTTGAAAATGCTGTATTATAATAGTATTATTATGATTCTAAAATTCAATATAAAGATAAAATTCAAATGCAGATAGGAAAATATGATCAGAATGTGCAGCAAGAGTGTAGCAGGAGTGTCAAATATTGCACTCTATGGCCTATAAAAAGAAAATAACTCTAGTGTTATAAAGGCAGCTATTAGTACTATTTTGGAAGCTCTCAGTGGCCTTTCACTAATGTCTGTGCCCTTCTTCTGTGCTGTTTTCTCCCCTTGGACACTATGATGTTTTACAAGCTTTTCTGAGTGCATGATTACTATTTTTCTGTGTCTCCCCCCTCCCTGCCTCACTCAATGTGTATACACAAATCCTGGGTTTATCTTGCACTGAGTCGTCAGGTTATTATCTTCTGAAATAATGGCATGTGGGCCTGCAAATCAGGCAGTCTAGTAGTCTGACAAGGGGGGGATGGAAATCAGGGATCTTAAGTCCCTCCCTAGATTTACCATTAACCTGTTATGGGGCTGTGCTCAGATAAAGCCTCTGAGTTTCTGTTTCCTGAAGGTTGGAACTAGAGGACTCAGACCCCCACAGAAAGGTGCTATATAAGCTCCACTTGGGTTGTACAGCACTTTTTTCCCAAGTAAATCTGCTGTTGCTGTAAGTGAAGCGTCAGGAGACAATATAATAATAATGACAACACTATTTTATAAAAAGGTGTAGAATAGAATAGAATAGAATAGAATAGAGTAGAATAGAATAGAATAGGTTTCAGTGACTACCCTAAAGAATAGTTTCTATTTTGGCACTTTATGGTGCAGAGTCTTTTTGTGCATAGACTTCATTCTGCATCTGCAGAGTGCAGCACATTTGTACCCTCTCTTGATATGAAGTTCTTGTTGTCAGGCCCAAATGTCCTGGGGTGCAAGAAACCACTAGCTAATCTGGGCAGGGTGGATCTGGAAGGTGAGATACTGGGGCTCTTCAGCTTTGTCACAATGAGAGAAGTAACCAACGGCATCTACTTCTCTCTCCTTGCTTTTCAATGTCCTTCAGTGAAAGGCTCATGGTCTTGCTGGACTCCTTGGTCTCACTGCTCAGCAACCTGTGGAGGAGGACACTACCAGCGCACGCGGACTTGCACCAATCCAGCTCCATCTAGCGGAGAGGACATCTGCATTGGTCTGCACACGGAGGAGGCCCTTTGCAACACGCACCCATGTGAAGGTAGCCAGTTCTTGTCCCTGCTCCACCTGGCTTGGGTGGTGGTGGGAGCAAGGCACATCTGCAAAATGTTTAAAAAATAAATCAGAAACACCACCAGTTAGAATCTTTTCTGTCCATTCTGTAAATGTCTGTTGAGCCAGGGAAAAAGGAGACATCCCAGTGTTCAACTGCAATGCATCACCTTTCACTTTACCTGTTCACTAGCCCACGCTCAGGCATTCTGGTGCCGGACAGGCAAAATCTTGTTAACAGCTGATCCATTTAAAGTAATTGGAAAAGCAGGAGCTTAGATCTTCAAACAAAACAAACAAAAGGAGTCATGAAACATGAGTTTGTACAGTTGCTAAAGGGACAATCCTTCCTTTTTCTTACACAGACAGGGAGATGAGCATGTGCTACAACTCAGAAGACAGGGTTTAGATCTGTGCTGGTTTTGAACTGCTTTTGTGTATTTCTGGTCCAGTTCGGGCTGACTCCTGCCCTTAGGAACATCAGCTAAACTCTCTAACTGCTGTAACTTGTGCTGGCTGCTTGGGGTATCCCTGGGAGGCCACCTCAAAACTTGGAGGTCCTGGTGCAACATTGCCCTGTCCAGCTCCTTGTACGTCTTTAACCAAAGAGCTGATATAGGAGCTTTTAAGATGGCTCTATGCTGGGCAGTGCTCCACCAAGGGGTGGTTCAGTCCATATTAAGCAAACTACAAGCTGACAAGTAGGGTATGATGCTTGCATTGTTATTTGTATTGAGAAAATTAAATCCACTAAAGGCCCCTGGATTAGATGTGCGAGAGAGGCCCAGGCCAGGATCTAGACATCCTTCAGCATGGGAGAAGTTTGGTATCTACAAGGGATCCTTTTCCTTCTTGGTGACGGTGTCTGTGTGTTTTCCTGATCTTGGATTTCAGGTGGCTGGTCAGAGTGGTCAGAGTGGAGCCTGTGTAATGAAGAGGGCATCCAATACCGCAGCCGTTATTGCGAGGTACACAGCCCAGACTCTTCTCAGTGCATCGGAAACAGCACGCAGTACCAAGATTGCCTGTATAATGAAATTCCTGGTATGTACGGTGTCATGGAGGAGGGAGAGGGTGGGCCAATTCAGGAAAGCAGCTTGTGCCCTGACTGTCAAGCTAGGCTGAGAATTTCTCTATTATAAGTTGGGTTTGGATGCTTCTAGAAAAACAGGCAAACAAAGAAACATGTTATAAACTCCATTATTGCAGGCACAGGGTAACTCGCATTCCTGTAAGGCAGCTTAGGTTTTCTTTAAAACAGAATTACCTACATCTGTAATAAACAACTAGTATTGCTTCATCTGAATTGAAGCTTTTAACCTTGCATAGTTCATCTCAGGCTGGGTTATAAAAATTATCTCTGTTCTCAGTATGGATACGGGCAACAGAAGGTCCTTGAGTTCAGGTATCAAAAGAAGCATCCCAAAAGGGCGAAGAAATAAGGTGAGGCAGATGGATAAAATTGGTGTGTGAAGTGGGGAGATTAATCAAGGGTCTAACTGAGTGACATTGTTGATGGACAGATGGTCATCAACATCTTCCACCCTGTGTTTTGTGGAAATTGAATCTCTCAGGCAAATATTCGATATGGGTCTAGAGTGAATAACCCCTTTTCACATAGTCTTTTCTGGATTACAGTGCCCTGACTTAAAAATCTGAGACCTCTAGGCAATGGTACTCTTCTTTTTCATTGTTTTCTCAGGTATCTTCTTTCCCCTAAATCGAAGAAGCTAAAAGTGATCAGGTAACAGTACTGGAATTGTCAGGTCTTTGGAGAGGTTTTGTTGCATGTGTTTCACACTCTGAGCTTATCATTCAATTTAGGGAGACTCTCAGCTTGCTGTAGAACACGTGAGCAGCTTCTTGTGTCTGGAGCACAGGGGGTTTAATTATTTAAAGACGTAAAGTGATGGCAAAATGACAACTTTCTCCAATCTTCTTTCTTTGTTTAGTGATCCTGCCAGCCTCCAGTATTGATGAGAGCACAAACTGTGGAGGTAGGGTACCACTAACTATATATCTTATTTTTATCTTAACCTGGCTTCTTTTCTCTCTGTGCAGTATCAACCAAACCATTAATCTATACAGCTCATATCCCACTGATAGCCTTAATTCCACTGGAGTCTTGCTGTCTGAGTCAGACTGGAGGAATGTATTGCATGTCCACTTGTCAGTTCCAAGATTTTTATTTATTTTGGGGTTTGAGTTTGCCACTGAGGGTCATTAATTACCAAGGAGCACATTGCTTGCCTCTCTCTACCCACAGGGTAAATGGTTCAGGAGAAAGGAAGGGATATTCCTCATTCCACTACTGTAAGCCTCCAGCTTTTTGGAGGCAGGTGTTTTTAAATAACCTATCAAGATTTCAGCGAACAGGATCTCTTAGATCCTTTGCTGATATAGGATGAGATTAGAGTTTATACTTGTCCTCCAAGCACTTCCTTTCATTCAAGTCCTCACCTCTCACAGAAGTTGTGTCTCCTTTCTGCATGTAACTTGGAAAGATCCAGTCATTAGTGTCATTTTTCCGCTGCCCTAGGAGCTCCTATGATAAAAATGCAGACTGAAGAAAATGGCAGGTTCCTTCGACATTTTAAAATGCTAGTTTCACACTAATGACCATGTCAATTCCTGCTAGCGTCACATCCCTGCTTTCCTGAAATCTAGATGATCTGCAGACTGCCAAAATCTCTTCTCCCTGTGGAGATCATGGCAAAAAAAGGCACACCACCTGTGGCAACGGAAATGTGGCTTCTCGGTTTGTGACTGTGGGGCAATCAATGGAATTAAGATTTCAGCACCTGCAATGTAACAGTTGGCTTTCTGCATCACTCCTTCTCCCTCAGAGGGAGGTGCAACGTATCTGCTTCAGTTCCAGTGCTTCTTACTACGGCTTGCATTCTGCTGTTGTGCACTGTATCAGCATTTCCTTTTTTTACCATCACCATTGTATTTGCTGTTGCAATCTACATTTTACCATAGCTAATATTATTTATTACTTAGTGTTCTACAATATTTGGCAAAGAAGCCAATCAATAGAATTTCTGTTGATGCGTCTCAGAAAATCTATATTTTCAAAGTGATGAACCAGAAAACTTCCCCCCGGGGACTCACATGCTGCAGACAAAATAATTTGGTTTTTCCCTAAGATGCAGCTAAAAGTCACCTGAAAAATCAGATGGGTCTTTCAAAGGTGAGAGGGAAATATAAGAGCGCTTGATGTTTTAGAAAGGATTTCCTACTATAGTGAATTGATAAATGTACTAGTGAAATGAAACATTCACTGCAATATGAGCAAAGCTGGACAGGAGGAGAATGTGACAGTGTCATGTGGCTTCACTGAGCACAGTTGCATATTCGGTGTTTTAGCTGTCATGAGTGACGTAAAGCAGGCGGAGGTTTTTATAAGGAAAATGTCTTTTTGCAAAAGTCTTGTAACATTTAGTAGGAAATTATCATCTTTCTGCTGTTTTTTTGGACCATCATCCAAAACATAACAGAAAGTGGTAATCTTGCAATAGAATTTTATGTGTAGTTTAAAAAATAAATGTAGCTCATCAGTCTAATAAATTCTGTATGTTCTTTACTGTAATTATGATTGAAGTGCATTACTTTGCTGTAGAAGTCTATTGGTTTTGTTCTTTTTAAACTCAGGAGGATATTTTTTAACTAAAGATTAGAGGAGAGCAGTAGACTAATGGGCAGAATTCTCTATTTGAAAAGCATATCAGTTAAAATGTGAGATGGCACCAAAAAAATGCACACCGTGATCAGACTAAGAATGAACCTCATTTAAAGCCACTCTCTGAGTACTCCCTTCCATTTCTCTGCACACAGTCAAGTCAATACAGCAGTCTGTCCAAATGAATTGGCTTTTTAAGTATTATGGGAATTTTACCGCTGCGGTCACCACTGAGCCGATGTGGCTGTCCCTTGGGACACCTGCCCTGGGGGAAGCAGTCAGGGGTCCCCCCGCAGGCACTAGGGCCCCTGTTACTCCTCTTTGGAAGATGACAGAGCAAAGGCAGAGGAAAGGCAATAGCATTTGGAGTCATCATCGCGGATTCTTTTTCTGCAGATCCTCCCCTGCACATAGCAAAAGACAACAAGGTCATAAAGTTTTGCCACCCAAGATTGCTTCGGGTTCTTCGTTAACTTGGTGGCTGTAAAGGTCGCTACTCTTTGTTCTGTTGTCAGTAGAGATCTGTTGGTTGTTGGTTTTACCATGGGTTTTGAGACTCTCTGAGGTGAGGGAGGAATGAGGAGTACTATTTGACTTTGTCTTCCCTCCACCAGCCGGAGTTGCGCATTAAGCAACTCCCAGTGCGTGGGATGCAGAACTAGAGCTCCTTCCAGAGGTCAGCGCTGTGCTTGGAGGGTGCTGCTGCAATCCCACGTGGAGAGATCTCTGTGGGAGGCTTTTATAGTCCAAGAGCTTTTCTTTTTGAAATATTTGCACTGTAGCTACCCCCACCTGCCTGCAACTGGCTTCCTATCTTTGCAGTTTGTGGAGAAAGCCAACAAAGAAGTGTTTTTCAAGCAGTTCCCCCCTTTTTCCACCTTATCTCTCCCATTCCCCTGAGGACCCCTGTTTCACTGTTAGCGGTACAAACACACCTCAGAGGTAGTGCAGACATGGCCAAGGCAATGCTGCTCCATGAACAAGCAAGAATGCTGAGCACACTTGGATTACATGGGGGAGGAATGTGTATCTCCCCCACCCCACACACAGTCCCATAGGCCTTTTGGGCAGCCGACAAAAAGGGCTTTCCCCTCCCTTCGTTCCCCTTCAGAGAAACACTGAGCATTTTTATCCCCTTATTTCCAGGACACGCACATGCTTTGGAATGCATTAATGTGCATTGTTTGTACGGCTCATTTCTTTAGCTGTCAGCTTAACATAATGTTTAGTTTCAATATCAATAGAGGGGAGAGAGGAGAGACAGGGAGGGAGCTTTGAGAAAACAATGCATGAACCTGTTAAACTGCACAAGGCAGAGCTGCAGTGGGGAGACCGATTTGCGGGGAGATTATGTCAGTTTATGTTAGAACGTAAGACTCTGGCTTCAACAGCTTATTAATGTTGATCCCGAGATGTCATAGCTCTGATTTGCACCTGTGGTCTTGTCAGGAGAGGGAAAAAGGCAGTTCTTTAAAAATAGCATCTCTTGTCATTTCCCTTGCAGGTTTTAGTCTCATCCATCTGATTGCCACTGGGGTCTCCTGTTTCTTTGGCTCCAGCCTCTTAACGTTTGTGATTTACGTGTACTGCCAGCGCTGTCAGAGGCAGTCCCAGGAGTCGACCGTTATCCACCCAACCACTCCCAACCATCTCCATTACAAGGGCAACACAACCCCCAAGAATGAGAAGTACACCCCTATGGAGTTCAAGGTAGGGTTCTTGATGAGAACTACCACAAACAGCTTGATACTACCTGAACAAATTCTGTATTTATGTCATGGTTGGAAATGGGTAGGTTTGTGTTTCTGTGCCCAGCTCTTGGCATTACGTGTGGGGTTGAAGGGGCGTTTCTGCATACTGTCATGAAGGGGTTAAAAAGTCCCATTACCGCAATGGGATTTTGTTCTGTTTCACAGTCCTGATGAATGCCAGTCTGGCAAGTACATACCAAGATACTCCAGCCCATTCTGACTATTGTATGCATAAAAACTGTCCTCTGAGAAGTCAGTAAGAGCTCAGTTCAGTGCATTGTTAGTGCATGGTAAGAGGAAATGGAGGGGAGGAAGAATGAAAATGGAAACTTCATTCAACAAATAGCTGGGAAAATGCTTATTGGTAGGATGAGATTCTGGAAATGCTTTTGGAACTGCCAAATTGGAGAGAATGAGAAAGCAGAGAGGGTTCTGCGCTCCCATCAGTACTGGACAGAACTTACCCCAAGCAGCCATGCAGAATTCAATGATAGCAGCAGAATTGGGAGTTGAAGCCTTAGGAGAAGATGAGTGTTGAAGAGGCATGCTTGCTAAAGGGAACATCACCTGTTATCTGAGCAGATAGGACTAAGGGTGCAAGAGACAATACGCTGAGACAGTAGTGCATCGTTGTATTTGAGCCTCAGTCTCCAGGTGAAGTGTGGGATCAAAGTGAGCAGCAGGATGGGTGAAGGGGCTTCATGTCACCATGGGAGGAACAGCCTGCCTAAGGTCACTTGAACAGTGTGGACCATTATTTGGGACATGAACACAAAACAGAAGGAAACCCTGCAGCTGCTTGCTCCTTCGTATTGCTACGTGCTGTTGACATTTTGATTGTCTGTTTCTGCTGATCTGGCCTGGCTTCTGACTGAGACCCAACAATAAGATCAATGGTGGGACCGTTGCCATAGTCTAAACTCCCTGGGTGTTGGGGACTGTTTCTACATAGGGATTTTATAATGCTGGGCACAGGACGATTCCTGATACATGACCATGATTTGTGATGTGAATACGCATCAGAACTAAGAGCTTGCATCAAATCATTTAAAAAGAGTCAATGTTGTTTTGGTGTTTTAAAGGAAAACCGTTTGAGCTGGAAAATAACAGACCAGTTATAAGCAATAAGCACGTGCTGAATTCCTTGTGTTGGGCATTGCAGCCCCTCAGAGGATCCTGCTGCCTATAAATGCAGTCTCAAAAATACATTTCCTAGCAGCATAAGGCTACAGTTGCATACAGTTTAATAAGGGTGCAGCATCATAATGCGAGTCAGCATGGATTTGTGGAAAGTAAATCATGTCAAACAAATTGGATTCCTTTTTTAAATTAAATAAATATTGATCTAGATAGGAGGGAAGCAGCAGACATATTGGGATTTTCAGAGGCTTTTAACAAAGTTTCACAGGATGTATTATTCTACACACTCTGCATATACAGGTTAGGTAATAAATTATTAAGACAGGTAAAGAACTGGGACCTGATCCTGGAAGCTTCAAAGTATGAGAGTAATCCTTTCAGTTATGTGAGCAGTTGTGGCAAAGTCAATAGGAAGACCCAGATGAAAAAAGCTTGCAGGAATAAAGAAATGATTAGGAGTATCCCCGTGTTCCTTACATAGCAAACAATGAAGAAAAGAGACAAAATTATTTTTGTGGCCAAAAGCAGGTAGTTACAGGGTTGGCTTTGTGTTAACATTTTCTTCATGATTTATATTGTGCTATTATATGTTATCAGTTGATGCTAAAATAAGAAGAACGGTTAAAATTTAGAAGGATGAAGTTGTTCGCAGAACAATCTTGATCAATTGGATAAATGGATTATGAAATGCAATATGTCTATGCTGAGTGGTGCAGTGGAGTAGAAGTACTAACAAAGCTAAACAAAGTTTAAAATAGCAGCAGATTAGTTAATGTAGTATCAGGAGAGAGTTGACCTTTTTGATAGATCCATCTCTGAATACTTGATCTAGTGTGTAGTAACAGTGAGCAGCTGTTAGAGTCTTCTTTCGAGGGACATAAAGAGCCTAGCCATTAGATCAAGTTTTGAAAAGTCTAGTTTATTTAAAGGAAGGCATTAGCTAACTGGGACTGTATGAGTTAGGCTGGGGCAAGAAGGGACTTGGACACAAGCAGAGATAGAACAGATGGGTCTTATTTGTAGAATGTTAGGAAGGGAAAAAGATCAAATGCATAAATCTGCAGTCGTTGGACAGACCAAAACTAAATGTTTAGGAGCAAGGGGCTACTTGCCGAGGAGAACTCGGAAGTCATACACTTTCAGAGTGGTGAATGAGGCAAAGAGATTTACAGAAAAGGTAAAATCTGTTTATCAAGTGAAGCCCCTTTTCTCTATTCCTGTTGAATATTTCCTTATGTTCATCTTCTCTATTGGCCCTCCTTTCTTAAACTCTTGCCTGAAAATGTGTCATTTAATTCTACAAATTTGCCACTCCTCCGTGTTCCCTTGAAGAATATAGCGTTAGTGCAGTAAGAGGAAGGCTCTGTGTGCTCTGTGCTGTGTAATTACTTACAGAACTTGTTATTAGCCAGCTTTATTTTTAGGAATAACTGGCAGATTTTTCTAAGGGTCAGGAGGGAGTTTTTCATGCCTTCAAGGAGCATGTGTGGTTTTATTGTGATGCTACACAATTAACATTCAAATGATGGAGGAGCTAAAATTCACCTTCTGGAAAATGAGGGTTAGACTGAGCTTGGATATGGGCCTATCTGAATTTAAAATGTGTATGTATGAAAGAAAACTAAAACACCTGAAATTCCAGATTCTAAACCCAAGTAAGTTTCTATTCAGCAGATACAAAGAAAACTGCCCCCAACATTTTCTAGGTAATGAAAGCAAAAGCATCATTGTAGGTTTGTATGTGTATATGTGAAAGAGTTAATAAATCCACGGTTAAGGAAATACATGGTGTGTAGACTACCTTTCAGTAACAGAAAGTAGTAATACGCAGTGGCATGATGGTAGCAGAAGGCTAAGCATATGCACAAGTCTATTATTTTTCATTCTTTGATAATAAAAAGCCTCCTGCAACCATCTTTAGTTTGTTTTCATCTTGAAATATCTCTGCCCTCCAACCAGCAGGTGAACACAGTAGAAAGTTTGGCAGTGTTACATTCAAATGTACAGCACTGAATGCAAACTCATAAATCAAGGTGAATTTTATATGGAGGCAGATTTTAATGAAGGAAGTGCTAGCTGATATGAGCCTTGTTGGACATTTCAGCACAGCAATGCAGTAATGCAGATCAGATGTAAATATCTTACATAATGGTGACCTATTGATCATTTAGCTGATGCTAACTTGCCTAGGCAGTGTTTTGCAGAAGAGTGTTTTATTTTTGCTGGCTTCTTTTCCCTTCCTGTTTTGTTTTCTCAAGAATGCTGTGAGGTTTATTATTAGCTATTTTAGCCATGATGTCTTAAAAGATTTCATGCATATGCATTTACCAGCAGCATGTTGATTCTGATTTGTTATTCACAGATCGTAGGGGAGAGACCTTTTGTGTCACCTAATAAGCAGTTCATGTTTCATTAATTGGTTAAAGTTCATACAGCACTCTGACAATATTGAAGACTGTGCAGAACAAGAGCATAATGAAATAAAAATTATCTGCTCTTCACATTTTGGCATGATGGGTTACAGAACCACCTACAACCTTCCCAGTACTGCCATGCTGATTAGTTAATAATTGGCTATCAAAGCAGAGAGGAGATCCTCTTTTTTAACATTTTTGCTTCAGCTACTCAGTGACTTACTTATATGAGTTACTTATTAGAGTCATGCTGATGGAAAGCCAGATGATCCTGCAGTAGAAGCGGGAGGATGTAGGGTCAAGGTTGAGCCCTTGTGAATTCGGAGCTCTTGGAACAGCCACACATGGAGAAAGGGTTTGGACTGAACTTCTTCCTATTGCTAAATCCTCTGCCAATAAAGAGAGCCAACATTTTATTCTACACGGGATTTGGACAGGCAAAGGCGTCTGCACATTGGTCCAAATCCAGAATCCAATGGCCTTTGGATCAAGCCAGATGGGATTAGTGAGAAATGTCAGTTTGCAGGACGGTTATGATGATGATTCTGCAGATTTTCTTCTCAATTGTGCTGGACAGACCTCCCTCTGTCCTTCCTTCCTTAAACATAGCTTTAGTCATGAGTCATGCAGTCAAACTCTTTCTGTACTGGTGCCTCAAATAAACTGAGGAAGCACCTGAGCATTGCATCTGTTCTGGGCATCACCGCTGCTCTCGTAGAAGCTAAGGGCCAAACACTGAACTTGTGCTCAAGCAAAACAGTCATTTATGAGTCAATGAGCAAATTTATTATCGGGGAAAATGAGGTGAGAACTGAGTGAGATTGCAGGATATGGCAATGAAAGAAGGAAACTAAATATTTAATGTATCACCTGATACCTGAAGTTTCTAGGAGGACGTCAGAACAATACACATTAACTTCAGTAGGACTGCCAGTCCTGCACTAGCCCAAAGTTATATAGCAAATATGAATGCTACCAGAAAATGGGGGGAATATTCAGTAGATCACTTGGGACCCTGTACAAATTAGAAGCTACAATGAATATTTTTTAATAAAGTGAGAACAATGCTGTTGCGAATCAAATAACAGTGCAGAGCCGATACCCCCTGTGAAGGACTCCGGACACTGTGTGATGCACACTTCATTACTAATCCCAAATAATTAATGGCAATAAAATACCAACATGGAGGGTTATGAAACAGAAACCAATTCTGTCTTTGGAAGACAAATCCTTCTGAAAAAACAACAGGCTGGGTGTTTGGTGTGGCTTTCAACATTGCAAAAAGAAATAAAGCTCAGGGTATAGGAAAGTGGATCCCTGTATGGATTTTAAATGTCTCTGTCTTGGTGACGGTCATTTTCATTGCCGCTGAAAATCACGCCTTTTTTATAGCGGGGAGACAGCC